ACTGGAGGGCTGTGCGGACAGGCGTATCGAATGGGTTTTGGCGATGGCGTGGGGTGCAAGGTAAGGCTTCGTTGTCTGTGCTATCAGTCTCTGACACCACCATGGCATGGGCGCGCTTGCGCACACCGTGAATCAAGGCGGTCACAGCTCGGACAGGCGTGGTTGGTTGGACTGGAAGGTAACCCTGGCAAGAGGTTTCGACACTTGGAGCCATCATTTCCGCAGTGATGACTGAGTGATTGAAAGGCCATGCACCCGTTCGACGAAATGCGGCCTTGATGTTTTCGGGTGTCAATGCACGGACATGGGCAGCACCATAGATACGTAAAAAGTTCGTCTTGTCGACTTTTGTCCTCTTTTCACGCAACCACCTGTCCTTCTCCTGAGTCCAAAACAGCTTTAATGGCCCAAATATGACCACGTCAAGACCTTGATACACATGGGTTGCATGGGAAGGGTAACACAAGACGTGAATTCGATGCTTACGTGCAAAGAGGAGGAAGCCGAGCGTGTAGTGAGAATTGTGGCCATCCACAAGAAGCACCCGAGTACGTCCATTTGCTTTTGCCTTCGTTTGTTCATGGAAATCTTTGATGTATTCCACCCCAATCTCACCATCGGTCCAGCCCTTTTTCGAATAACCAAGTCTACATAGAATGTTGGTGAGAAGCAAGAATTTTCAATGAATACTGAGACGTACAAGGCCTCTGTGGGATTTTCCTGGTCCCACTTGACATGATATGATTGTCCTTTGTAGAGAACGGCAGGTTTCAATAGTCTGCATTCAATCGCACCCATCAAACCGTAGTAAAAAATTGATGCCCTTTATTCCCACGTTTGAGTCATGTGAGAGCGCTAAACAATGAGACGCAACGCGTCGGTTTGAATAGTAAAAGGCATCCGCAGCCATGTCCCGCGATGAACTCCCCCAATATATGCCCAATACTGCTCTAATGTCATTTGAGACACCTCCTCGCCCATTTTACCCTCCGTGGGCTACTCCCAATGCAAATCCCGGTACACCCACCATCACAGGGACTGGATTTCAGACCTACCCAGCCTATCTTGCCACCCCCAGTCCTCAGAGCCACCAAACATCAGTTAAGTGGAGCCACAAGAGAAAAAATGATGAAAATTCGGGCCAGAGTGTAGTGAAGAAGGCACGGAACAGCCGAGGTCTGGGTCTGTTGTCAGACTCAACAACGTCAAACCTTCCACCCGAAATGGGTACGCCCGACGAAGTCAGTGACCCAGATGCAGACAAACTTGATTCCTTTTTCGCTTTTCTGCAAGGGACACTTAAGTGGACATTTGGTGAACTTCTTTATCACACAAGCAAAGGAAAATCTCCTGGTGCAAAATGGAAGCTTGGCCCTGATGGAAAGTCATTGGTAACTTCAAATCCGAAAGAAGTGAAACGAAATTCTTCCATTATCCAGCACTTTATGCATGGTCGTGGTACATATGGACCTGCTGATATCCTGAATAACTGGATGCAGCATCCATATGGGGCTGATGAGCACCAGTCACATCTCATGTACTCCACCAGTGTACCTTACCTCGAAATAAGGCCAGTCCGCCCTGCCCTGACTGCATTCGCTGCACAGACAGTCAAGGCAAAGATAATTCATGAAGCTGAGAGTGCTGTTAAATTATCTAGTGGGCTACATGTTGCAGTAACACGCAAGCAGCAGACAAAGTCCTTGGAAATGAGGCTTGACTGGCCTGACATCAGTGCAGCTACCTTTGATAAAGTGCAGGGCATTATTCAAGAGAAGCAACCACTCACTTGGTCCTTGATCATGGAAGTAGCATCACGACCCCCTCGAGTTCAAAACGGTATTAAAATCATTCATCAAAAATGGCCACCTCAGATTATCTCAACTCATATCATCAGCACACTCAATTTCTCTTGGTCATCCAGTGCCAATTTACTTCCACTTGCCACCGGGTTATTGTACTTTGCCTCCTCTGCAAGCTATGATCTTTTCCGCCATCATGCGCGTGTTGGTGATATGCCTGCCTATAGCACGATTATGAAAGCTATGTGCGTTCTTTCTGAACGTGAGGCAGAAAAAACACTTCAACATGGTGCCCATGCAGACTCCATTGGTGTTATACGTCTGGACAATGTTCAAAACTATCTCATCCAACAGAATCCTGCAATCGGGCGTGAAAACAAGCTCAACATTGGCCTTTCAGCAACATACTATGAGGTTGAGGGTATTGACCCTCATGTTTTTGACCTCTCTGCAAAACATGATTGCCTTGCAGAGAACAAAAGAAAGGACCTTACAGTGAACAACTTTGTGAGCCTTGTTGATAGCCAGCACTTGGAGACAGTCGGTATCCTGCAGTGGATTAACACCCTTGTGCAGCACATTCCTGAACTCTCGTTTATGAAGAAGCATGTCTCTATGCTCTACCGCACTCGAGCAGCGAAGCAGCGATTACCACCAAAGCCAACCAAAGTCCATCCTCTTGCATCAAGCAGCAGAAATGAGACGGTAGTCACTGACTTGAAAGAGGCACTGCTTGATTTTTTAGCACAGACAGGGCAGACGGCAGAAAGCTTCAAGAAGCGCCTCTTTCCAATTGGAGGTGATGGATTGACCTTCAACAAAATTTTAGATATTCAAGATTTTCTTCAATTCCACGAGAATGAGTTTGAGACCCTCAGGGTTCTCGACCCTCTTCTGGAATGGTGGCACTCATTGTGGACGGATTTGAGCCGCTTGTTTGGTTCTCACTGGGGTGGAGATCTATCAAAGGATCCCTCTACACTGAGCCACAGTGCTACGAAAATCGGACGCAAAAAGCCTTCGAATTTGAAGAAGGTTGACTACTTCCAACACTCACAACTGGCATACCTTGTTCTTGATGCCCGAATCTTGGATTGCTGGCAGTGAGTTCAAGCTTATAACCTTCATATTTATCAGACATTAAACTTACACACTTAGACTCCACTATGGTCAAAAGAACCTGCAGCAATATTTCGAAGTGCTCGCAAAGAAATCTGAACTCCCTGCATTTGAAGACCTTGAGGTGGCTGCAAGAAACCTGTATCGAAAATACATGAGCTCGCGAGCTCAACAACGTGCCATGTTGGGATTATGCTCAACTTCCAATCCTTCATCCCTGCTCTCTGTTCCCATAGGAGCCCGCTGGACTGAGCCACGGCCTGCACCACCTCCACCAAAAAAGAAATCACAAAATCCACCTCCTTCACCTGAGGAATTTCTTGGAGATCAGGTTTTAGCATGCTCCATCGCCTTTATGCGTGAGACGATGATCTCTCGAGAAGCAATGTTAGCCTCTGCGGAAGGCGATGTTGGCCGTCTCTACGAAATGATTAAGGCCATGCTTTTTACATTCGCTGGTTCACCTCATTCAAACTACACAGCTTATTTCCTCGAAATGATAACAAAGCTAGAATGGGAAAGTGGGCCGGAGCTCAAATCCGCACTTTTAGCACTCTCACTCGTCAATTTAACAGGCTGCGAAGGCGGCTTTGCAGCAGGGGACACCATACAGGAATACTTCAATCGAATTCTTGAAGCTGTTGTGGGGTGTAAAGGTGTTGAGTATGGCAACAATTTTATCCGAAATGTCTGGTCAAGAAACTTACACCATGTTGCACGGCTGAAATCAATGTGGTTAGAGGGGGTTGGACTCGCACCACGTTCCAAAAAGCATACAAAGGCAAAGGCACTCGCTGAAATGCGAATATTAATGCAAGTCTATCAGGACACTGAATTACACACCTTTCGGGCTGGGTGTACCTTCGATGTGGATCTCTTTGTGGACGACTTCGAGTTGGGGCTGAAGAAACTTGGTGGAGGGGGAAAACTAAAAAATTGGATAAGCAAAACGACAAGATCCCGAGGTCTTCAAACCTCAAGGGATATATCTCCTCAGGCATTTGTTGACACAGAGGACGATAACAGCGAGGACAGCTTAGACAAAGAAGAAGAAGACCTAGACGTTGTCGTCGAAAACTCGGGAAACACATTCGGAATTGTTCACATCTCTGAAGGTGATTTAGTGTTTTTCCCCATTGATATGGACGCAGAGGCAGCAAAAGTGATCCAGGACATCGAGTCGACATCTGGAAATGAAACCGAGGACTCCGAGTCAGATGCAGATGTGATGGATACGGATGATGAGAATGGTGGAACAGAGAATTAGACTAGTATCACAATAATTCATGTACAAACCTAATAGCTTTCAGGTCGAGTCCTCTGACTCGACCCCATCTGAACTCCCTTCATCAGTGTTTAAAAGTAAACCAGCACCGACTTCTGCACTTTTTCCTGAAAGCGTGGCCTTTTTGGCATCTCGTTTCGCTTTACCAACCTCCTTCTTTTTCTGGCGAATCTCGTCAAACCGTTCGTGTATCTCAAGAATTGTTTTGAGAAGGTGCGGTGCTGCACCAGCCAGGAAAATGTTGTCCATTACGAATGGTTGGAGAAGGGTATGACACGCGTCAGAAAGGAAGGAGTTGTCGTTGGTCTGGATGGCAAGCAGGGTGGTTTTACTGAGTAAATAGGGAAGCGCGTCCAAGATGTTTTCCATCACTGAATCAGGGAGATAGGCCTCGAGTGGAAGCATGCCCATCATGGTTTCATCAGCCTCTAACCTAAGATCCTGTCAAAAACGCTTGAGAATCGCGAGGCCCGCCGGGCGCATGTCCTTCGTAACACGAAGATTGAGGGGTAACATCTTCTTTTTGACGGCTGGATTCGTTGTGGCACTCTCATGCTCAGGTGCACAACCACTGCAGTCACAAGGCTTTTTGGGCGTAAGAATAGGAGGTCTTATCAGTGCCCCCCTAATTCCTGCAGGATTCCGGTCATTCCTGCGGATTCCGGTGGATTCCGGAGGAGTGAAATTTAGCAGGGAGGCCTGCTATTTTCTTCATTCCGGTGCTTTACCATTCCGGCGGAATTTCGGCATTCCGGAATTGTGACCGGAATGGTCCCCGGATTGGCAAAAACGGAATGCAACCGGAATCCGGTTTGTTTGGCGCAAGCCCATTGCCAAACAATTGTTTGTTTGGCAACGGCTTTCACGCTCATCCAAACACAACCCTCTCTCCTCCCACCACCACCGTCGTCGCTCCACGTAACCGCCCCCCTCACGTTGTGAGTGCCCGCCATGGGCTAAGCGACGTGAGGGGGCTCACATCGACCACCACGCCGCTCACCCGACATCCAACAACGCTGCCAACACCACAACGCTGTGCCACGTCACCACGGCACACGAACCAGGTAAGCACCCACAACCCCCTCTCCCCTCGTTTCTCAACACGAAAACCAGGTGCCACGTCGCTGACTGCGACGTGGCACCAAAACGACGGCAACAGGTCTCACACCCCACGACGGCACCACCCCAGCACTCCCGAAACAACGTTCAGCGCCCACACGAAACACAACAGCACCACCTCGCCCATGAAAACACCCCACCCAGCACCCACGATGGCCGCCCAGCACCCACAACAGTGCACAACGGCACACCACGTCCACGAAACAACACGCCGCCCACGAAACGAAGCCCAGCGCCCACGAAACGAAGCCCAGCGCCCACGTACACCTCCAACGGACGCGAAACAACACCCTGCGGACACGATACAGCACCCAGCGCCCACGTACACCGCCAGCGCCCACGAAACGACGCCCAGCGCCCATGCCAACGCCTAACGCCCACAACGCAACGCCCAGCGGACACGACACCAACGAGGACGACAACACGCCAGGACGACGACACGCGAAAACGACGACACGACGCGATGACACGTCGACAATGCGCGCCAACGAGACCACTCCCTCCCCCTCCCCTGCTGCTCACCACTCCTTCCTCTCCCTACTGCTCACCCACTACCCACCATCCCCTTCCCCCTCCCTTACTCCCCCTCCTTTCCTGCTCACCACTCCCTCCCTCTCCCTACCCCCTTCATTCCCTACCCCCTCCCTTCATTCCCTACCCCCTTCATTCCCTACCCCCTGTCTTCATTCCCTCATTCCCTACCTCCCTGCCCCTCCCTTCAGTTCTTCCCCCCCCTCTAGTTCTTCATTCCCCCCACTCCCCAGCACCCCTACCCCTCCACTCCTTCCCCCTCACTCCCTCCACTTTTCCCCTCTCCCTCCACTCCTCCCCCTGCCTCCACTCCTCCCCCTGCCTCCACTCCTCCCCCTCCCTCTATCTAGATTCAATGTAGATAAATTCCATCATGTATTTTTAATAAATGAGTTGAAATGAATCTTCCCTCTTTAAGTATAAATCTCCTAAGGAATTCTAAGATTAAGTTGTCAGCAGAAGGCCTGAGTTAGATTCAGTCACATGATATCTCCTTACTTTGTCCAAGGTCTGATCAGCTTAAAAAGTACTAAGAGAAGTATGCAGAAGTGTGTATTGGTGTAAATGTATGTTGTATCTGTGATTTTACTTCTATTCCAGTCCCATTCCTGTGGATTCCGGTCCCATTCCTGCGGATTCCTGTGGATTCCTGTGGAATCCGCAGGAATGACCGGAATCCTGCAGGAATGGGAGGGGCACTGTAAAGTACTGAAGAATAGGGATGATTTGAGCACACGTTGTGCACTCCGGTCCGCATTTCGGGTCTTCAACGGGGTTGTTGTACTCATCGTTGATGGCGCACGGGGTGCATTTCGAAGTGATGACACAGGCAAGACCTGGGTCAATGTCTGAGTTGTCGTCGTTCCCAGATGGATGTTTTCTCTTCTTCGAGCGTGAGGTACCCTTTTTCAAGGCCATGGAAGCAAGATGGGGGAGCGACTGCATGCGCACGAACTCTTGGGCAGCAGTCATTTTGCTGACAGGAATGTAGACGATAACTTTGGGTGACTTTACCTGGGTCTTGTCCCTCCCAACTCTCCCAGCCTTTTGCCAGAGATCGTCAAGGTCTTTTGGGTCTATGATGACCACCGTTTCAAAGTTGCGAATGTCGACGCCGACCGATAACTTGTCTGTAGCGATTGTGATCCTCGCGCCGGTGTTGTCTTGTAGAAGTTGGAAGGTTTTGGTGTTGTATGCAGGGGAGTTCAACGAGTTGAATAAGCGGATGGTGTTGTGAAGAATCGCGTCGTTGGGATCAAGATGCCATAGATAGACAGCAAGTCGAAAGCCAACACGGATTGAAGTGCAGAAAATGAGGACGTTCCCTTTTGCACATAGAACCCAGTCTAATTGGGGAAAGTGTTCTGTGTTTGCATTCGCGCGGATTGTGCGGATCGAGATTTGGACATCGGGACGGGCGTTTGAGCGCTGGATGAGGTGAATCTTCTCGTTATCAAGCCCGAGGAATTTCAGAACACTTTCAGTATGTCTTCCTTTTCGTAGAGTTGCTGTCAGGCCCATAAGAATTGTGTCCATCGGAAAGCGCGCACGAATATACCCGATTTGTAGAAACATGGGTCGGAAGCCAGCCCCCCATGTATTTAGAAGGTGAATTTCATCAATGATGAGTCCAAACAAACATTGTTTAAATACTTTCTCTTGTAGTAGGTTTTCGAAACCCGGCGTCGAGAGCATTTCCGGTGACACCAGCAGGACAGACACCTGCGCTTGGACTTGTCTCCAAATATTGACGCCCTCTTTTTCCGCCATCATCTTGGTGACAGCATTGATGGCCCTAGCTTCGATCTTGAATGCTTTCATTTTAGTTTCCTGAGAACTAAGTTACCACCCCAACTGATAATTGAACAGACTATGAACGTACAAGGTCTTCTTCGAGTGCAGTTGTAGGACAAACAACGATGAGAACGGGATCCCTAGAAAACACAGTCTTTGACGGAGACAAGGAAGGATCTTTGCCCAGAGTGACCAAAACCGTTGCGAGCATGTAAATGTAGGCTGATTTCCCAGATCCTGTCGCTGAGATGGCGATTACGTCTTGCCCGTCCAAAGCGTGTGTGATGCCATCTAGTTGATAGTCATGGGGTCCAAAGGGGAGCTTTTCTTGTATAATTCTGTGGCATATCCTCCATCCCAAAGGGCTGCTAAATTTGAATGGTTCATTTGCGGGGTTTTGAGCCATAGAACGCGTCTGATCTCCCCGATAACGCGTTGAAAATATTCAGCAGTATCACTAATTAGTGAACATGACGCGGTCGTGGGAACTACACGTGATTAGTTTATTTTACTACGGTTTGATGGGCGCGACTAAAAGCAGACTCCATATGAGGGAGATCGACTGTCATCACCCTCATCATAGGAGTTGCCTACGGGAGACTAAGGTTTCAACAATGATCCATCAGCACAAATCGTGATGATGACTGTGGTATTTTCCCTCCCACCATCCGACTGCTGATGCTGAGTCTTCTTTCCTCTCGGTCCAATCACACGCACCCTAACGCCGCCTTCTGGAAAGAACCCTGATTCATCTGTTCCATAAATATTCTCCTCTCGGATAGGTTCATGTCCACCATCCTCATCCTCATCAACTCCATCATCTCCATAGGTATCTTTCTCAAGACTTGCCAGGGCTGGCATGTCGTCATCGACCTCATCAGCCTGACCACTGCTTCTAGTTGGAGGAGGATCTCGGATAAGGGCTGGCATGTCCGAGTCATCATCGACATCATCAGCCTGACCACTGCTTCCCGTGCTAGTTGGAGGAGGATCAAACTTGTCATCCCTGTTTCCCGCGCTAGTTGGAGGAGGATCAAACTTGTCAAACTTGTCATCCCTGTTTCCCTTTAGGACATCTTCCAACAGATCAAACCACTCCTTGTTTGTGTGCAGATTAACTGCCCGTCCCCGTTTTTCATCAAGATTGTGAGTCCAATAGGTGCTGAGCCGATCAGAGTGCTTACTGATGAAACAGCTAGTCCAGTTTTTGCCTACTCCGGAAGCGGGAAACTTCCTTCCTAGCCACGCACGGCAAATGCTGTCGACATGGTCCTTGAGCCGTCTGTGGCTGAGTGGGAATCCACGAGAAGCAACCTCGATGGCATAATCAATGACCATTGTCGCCTCCCACTCGAGCAACCAAGACTTCTGAGAATTCCGGATGCTTTTCAGGGTTCCACCCTTGACCAGCCTCCACAAGGTACAGGGTTCGAGCTTGACTGTCCTCTTGGTTTCCGACCAGTGCTCATCCTCGATCTTTTTGCAGACTTTACGCAGACTGAGGGGCTTTCGGTTGACTGCCGTTTCCTGTTCGTGTCAATAGAGGGCTACTGCATGGATGAGGAGGCCATCCTTGGTACCCCTGTCTTGTTGGAGTTTCCGAGCATCAGATAGAGGTCGGCCAGTCATTTTCAGATGGGTTAACCAATACGAAACTTTTTTTTTGCTTGTCTGACCCAGTTTGAGTGTGACCCAGAGCTTGTCACAAAAGATAACACCTCTCAATGTCGTTTCCCCTCTTTTGCACTCTTAGAGGCTTTATAGAACCCTACCTCCTTAGATAAAATGCTATGAGTGTTCCTTTCACTGTGCTGTACCCATGTACCACAAAAATGTAGATATTACTTGGCCATGTCGTTGCTACATTAGGTTATAGAATTCATCAATCTTCATGAAAACCAATAAATGGAACTTTCAAAATGCCGAGGGTCTTATGGTACCCCAACAAAATCAGAAATGTATTCATCCAGCCTATTACTATGTGCTTGAATATACTCAAATTGTTTCGAGCAAAACTGAAGCAACAAGAGTGTTTTGTGTCAATGACCCAGCTGTGTCATTGACCCGTTGATGACTGTAGTAGAGAGAGACAACGACCAAAACAAATGTTGAGCAACCCGAATTTGATCAACGTCAACAATCGTCTTCGACCACCATCATCTCCGCCAACTTTGCTAGCTTACTACCTACCAAATCGCCTGCCTCGGATTGACACTCGGTTAGGAACTTTGGAGGTGGCTAAATGCGTACAATATCAATACTAGTCCGAGGCTTAAACGAGGCAGCGTGGGGACCATCATTGAAGGTGGTTATGTGGGCGATTAGTGTGCTGACATCCGAGATGCACCTTTTCCTCAAACTACCACACTGTGCGCTCTCCATTTCCAGACCCAGGCTCTTCAGACGACCATCCCCCCCGCAGAGCATGGCTGAAGAAGGACTGTCCTTTCCACAGGAGGTCAAGGCAATCGATCCCAAGCTCCTCACCGCCGCAATGGGAGGAAGGGCCGTGCCCCCGGAGGAACCTCTGCTCTCGACTTTCGAGGAGGGCTTTGGATACATCACCTCTGCTGCAGTCAGACGTTCGCTAAATGAGTATCAGATCGTCCGCAAAGTGCACTTCTTTAAGCTTCCCTCCGTCAACCCTTTTTTGATCATAAAGTTAGCTGGGTTGGGCTGCCAACTCCTCCGTGTGGCTCGCGCTGTGAGTTGGCTGGTAAATTCGTTTACTTAGTCTTCTAAACATCAATACAGCGACCACTCGGCAGACACAAGAACCTTCGTTGCCTTGAAAATCTTGACGTCGCAAGCTATTATTGGGGGTCATTCACCAGAGAGAGATGCCATATTCCGGAAGATCGAATCTGCCAACCCCAACAGCCCCAGATTCAATCACTGCTTGGCTCTCCAACGTTGTTTTGTCAGCCGAGGCTGTAGTTTATGACCAACTAAACCTGCATTCTTGCACTTCGCTTTTTTTTGTGTAGGGTGCATTTTTGTATGCGGCCCAAATGCCAAAAGTGTCTGCATCCTCAATTTACTGAAAGAATGCACGCGAAAATTTTAAAAAATGGCTTGCATTGCATTTCTACACCCCGAGAATAGGTTTCTGTGGGTAGATATGGTCTATTTTTAACTTCCTTTGTTGTGAGAGCTTCATATCCATCAATTATTTGTTTCCGCGCACGTCATTCATTCGATTCACCTATTTTTAGGTTCATCCGCTGCCGCATATGATTTCCGTCCATTGAAACTTCTCCCTTTCCTACGTTCGTATGTTTTCCACTCCCGGTATGTTTGTTTTTCAAAAAAAAAAAAACAGATATCTCTTGCTGCTTCATTGGTCCAGTCCTCCTTCTTTCTTTCGGCACTTATTTCATTAACTTCCTGGTACTCTTTCTTAGCGGAATGTTCACGCGCGCCGTGCTGTGTATCCCTATTGTATTCTTGCTTGGCGCTTTTTTGTTTCCACAATCTGTCACTCATTTACTGTTTGAAATGATAGTTACTTTATCAAATGTTCTCTATTCGGCCCTCATAGCTTTGTTTGTAATTCCTATGCGTGCTCTTTCCATTCGTGAACTTTGAAAGTGTTGGTTTGTGCATTCTGTTTGAAAATTGAAGTCACGTGCATGTTGATTTTCGACTTCAAGTTCGCGAAAACTTCTCCGTGCAGCAAGAAAAATTATATACATTTATATACACGGATGTATCAAAAATTTCGTTTACATGAGACTTACCCCTGCTCCAAGAGACGCAAGAGGACCCAATGGACCTCGGTTACAGCTGCCAACCAACCAGTACTTTACAGTGCCCCACCCATTCCTGCAGGAATCCACAGGAATCCACAGGAATCCTCAGGAATCCTCAGGAATGGGACAGGATTCCTCAGGAGTCCTCAGGAATGGGACAGGATTCCTCAGGAGTCCTCAGGAATCCTCAGGAATCCTCAGGAATCCACAGGAATGGGACCAGAATACAACAGATACAACACCTTCTCTTTGTGCTAGATACATTTACACTAATATACACTTCTTCACACTGACTTAAAGGATATCAACACTTTCTTATAAAATTTATATATTAAAATTCAAATATACATCTAATTTACTATTTTCTAAGTTAAATGAAGGGGCAGGAAGAAAGGGGGGGAGGGGGAGAGGAAGGAAGGAAGGAAGGGAGGGACAGGGAGTGGTGTGGGGCTGTCATCAGGATAAGGAAGGGATGGAGGGAGGGAGGAAGGGGGGAGGAAGGAAGGGAGGAGGAAGGAAGGGAGGAGGAAGGGGGGAGGAAGGGGGGAGGAAGGAAGGAAGTGAGGGACAGGGAGTGGTGTGGGGCTGTA